TCTATATATATTGTGAGATCCAAAAAAATTAATCTCCCTACTACTGACTTCCGAAGTTAATTGTATACAATGCAGACTATCTGAGTATGTAGATTATATGCTCCAACCACTGGTTCAAAAAACACCTTCGTATCTAAAAGATACTACAAGTATACTTCAGATATTAAGTGAAATTACGTGGGAAGATGACTATTTATTAGTCACAGCAGATGTGGCTTCCCTTTATACGAGTATAAAACATGATTTAGGTGTACAGGCAGTAGAGCATTTTCTAAAATTTTCCTCTTCATATCCACCACAACTAATTGAATTTATTTTAAAATCAATATCTCTTATTTTAGAGAATAATTATTTTTGGTTTCAGGGAGATTTTTATCTTCAACTATGCGGCACGGCTATGGGCACCAAGTTCGCCCCCAGCTACGCCAATCTCTTTATGGCTTATTGGGAATATATCCATATTGAGGAGGGCTATGGCGGGGGGTCGAACTTGGTGCTATATAAAAGATACATAGACGATCTCATTAGAATTTGGAAGGGTGGAGAAGAATCACTCCATAAATTTATGGAAATACTCAATTCAAACCAATGGGGTATACAATTAACTTCGGAAGTCAGTAGTAGGGAGATTAATTTTTTGGATCTCACAATATATATAGAGAATAATAAAATAAAAACAAAAACTTTCTTTAAGCCAGTGGATGTGAACAGCTATATCCAACACACAAGTTGCCATTTTAGTCCATGGCTAAATAATGTGCCAAGCAGTCAATTAATTAGGATGAAAAGAAACTGCACAGAAGAAATAATTTTTCTAGAACAAAGCCAAAAGATTATTAAAGATTTTAAAGAACGTGGGTATAAGGAAGGTTTTTTAAATGAAGCTAAAAGAAAAGTAGACAAATTAGAAAGAAATGAGATTTTAAAGTATAAGGAGAAGAAGAATATCCCATTTATATGTCAGTTCTCGGGAGGACATAATTATAAAGTGCGTAATATTATTAAGAAACATTGGCCAATACTCAGGGATGATCCCATTTTGAATGATATTTTAACAGATACACCTACGAACGACGAGACCGTTATACACACGTATAGGTGAGCATGTCTATAACATAAAGAGGAAATATGCGCTACACCAAGTGTCAGCACACTTTGCACAACACCATCAGGCTGATTTTACACAATTATGTTTTATTGCAATCCAACGAATCTCGAGAACATGGAGGGGAGGGGATTTCATAGAAAAAATAGGGAAGGCTGAGATGCAATGGATTTTTACTTTAAATACTATGGTTCCATATGGCCTGAACAATGACTTTGAAATTTGCCATTTTTTAAAATAATGGATCATATGTATATATATTTTATTATTTATTATTTATTATTATTTTTATATATTTTTCATTTTATATGAATACATTTTTTAATTAATTATAGCCTACGGACATACCAGTCTGAAAGTGCCTGATCTCGTCAGATCTCAGAAGTCATGCAGACTTGAGCCTGCTTAGTACTTGTATGGGAGACCAACTAGGAACCTCAGGAAGCCGTATACTTTTAATTAAATTTATTTTTTTAAATATACACTTTTATCCTTCAATGTTTTATAACTGCTTTTCAAAAGCATTTTTAAATTAATTGTTTTATTTTTAAACTTATCAATTTTTTCCAATTCATCAATTATTTTTTGAACCTCAGATTTTCATGCTCTCAGTTCTATTCCTATTTTGTTTCACAATTATATTGTTCACATTTATATGGATGATAAGTCTTTTTGTGATTGCACTTTTTTGTGATTGCACTTTGTTATGCACCTTTCCCACTAGGACACTCTCTGATAAATAATTACCACTGTTGATTCTAATTATTATTACATTGTATTCATGTTTTATCTATTATATTGTGTTTGCCAAAACTACAATAAGAGTAAGTCTTGAGATATGCCAATTAATAGTTCTCTCTTTTTATCCTTTTTAGGCAATATTGCTTTAAATCATAACTAAATTTAAATCTTAATCAATATTAATATGCTGTGTATCTTTGTGATTTTGTGATTCTATCAATGCCTTTTTGCTGTTCAATTTTGCCATGTTATTTTTTTTTTTTTCTGCTGTGTATCTTTGTGATTTTGTGATTTTATCAATGCCTTTTTGCTGTTTAATTTTGCCATGTTATTTATTTTTCTGCCATGAACAATCCTTTAAAGAGTCTTAAATGAGTCTTTAATGACAGATGTAGATTTGAATCCAAGTCCCATTAAACTTTATGTCAAGATATTTAGTTAATTTAATTGAACAATTGGACTTTTTCAATTGAATTAGTGATAAACCAATCATGAGGGATTGTTGCCCTATTTAAGCCCACAACCAAGATGAAGGTTGTGAGCACGTCCTGAGGAAGCCGATTGTCGAAACGCGTTGACGTCATACAAAGGGGAGGAGCTTACAGACCACGGAGTCCGGAGGCGTTTGTTTTTCTGGCAGCAGACAATACACGAGGAGATTCTCTAGCAGCCGAACAGGAAGAACGCCGGACGAGCAGCCTACCACCCTAATGATTGAACTCTGATAGTGAGTTGACATATATGTGTCAAACTCACCACCTTATCTAGTAAGGGGCTTGTCACCCTATATTTTATCATCATTTTTTATTATTCTATTTTATGTATATATGTACTGCTTTTTCTGCATGTGGCAGATAATAAATTTATGTCAGCTTTTTCCTATTGGGGTTTCACCAAATATTTCTTAAAGTGATACTTCACAATTTATGAATTGTTATAAGTATATATGCTTATATATTTTTTATACAATCTGCACTATCATTGCTTTTTTTTCCCTTTTTTCTTTACATATATACCATTATTGCTGGAAGTTACACTTAAAATCGAAACCAGTTTGTATATATATATATATACTCTTTCTTCTGTCTTATATATGGTATAAATTGCTCCACTCACTAGCACACATTACTTTCTCTTTTTGGTGGAGTTTTGGGATTACACCAGAGTGTGAAGCAATTTTGAAAACAATTTTGAAAACAATTTAGCACCCAGGTTACATCTGTTCGTTCATGTTTATATGTATCCAGCTTTATTTTATACCGTGCATCACAATTTATATATAATAACTTTTCGTTTTATTTTTTTTATTATTTTTGACATAGCTCTACATCCTGATTTTAAATAACATTACAGTTTTAAAACTAACATTTTTTTTCACAAAATGTGCTTAACAACACAAGTTTTTCTCCTGCCACATGTTACTTCCCATCAAACATCCCCTACAATGGCTGATGGGAAAAAAACTATCTATCGTGCATTACGCAAGAATCCGAGTGAGGAGATATGTATGAGAGTTCAAACATTATGTGACTTTGGGTGACTGTATCTATCAGGATAGGAAGACTGGAAGAGGTCGGTCACAGGAGGGAGAGTTTTAGTTCTGTATACATACTTTTCAAATTTACCCCCAGACACTAACTTCAGTGCATGCTTATAGTTATATGTAGAAAATGTAATGGATATTGTAAGACATTTCATGTGGTGGCTGATTTGTAGTAGCGAGACTGTCATTGTAACAATGTTAATAGTTATACAGTATGTATGTCACGATTCGGGGAACCAAACACGCCAACACACACACACACACACAAAGTGCCGTACCGGACCTTAGAGTGGCCGGGCTAAGCACACAAAGAATAGTCAGGAAACAAGCCGAGCAAGGGGAACCAGAAGACAGAATAACGTGAAACAAGCCGAGGTCAAAGGGTAGGAGAAAGTCACAGAGTCGGATAACAAGCCAGAGAGTATGTAACCAGAAGCACAAGTTCAGAATCAATACTAACAAGCAAAGACCACAACAGGGCAAGGAGGAACAGGAAAGGTAAGTATTTAAACCATCAGGTTAACTCTGATTGGATGATTTCCAATCAGAATTAACAATCACACGTGGGAGATATTTAGACCTCCCACTGTGATTGTGGCACTTTGCCTTTAACGCCGGGTCAGGTGACTGACCCCGGCGTGTATAACCCTGGGCGGTCTCCCAGCGTGCAGCGTCATGCATGCTGCCGCTGGGGGACGTGGAGGGAACGGCGGGCGGCATCCGAGGCTGGAAGGATGCCGCTCGCCGTACCCACGAGGTGGAGGGGACCGCGGACGGCTGGAGGGTGAGTACTGCGAGCGGAGTGCAGCCTCCCTTCGCAGCCGTCCGCGGGAGCCTGACATTACCCCCCCCTCGAAGACCACCCAGGGGGTGGGAAGCGGAAGGCTTCAAAGGAAAGCGGGCATGAAAGGAGCGGACCAAAGAGGGAGCGTGCACATCGGAGCTTGAAACCCAGGACCGCTCCTCAGGGCCCTACCCCTTCCAGTCCACCAAATATTGCAGCCGACCCCTAGAAACACGAGAGTCGAGAAGGGTAGCCACCTCGTACACGTCGTCAGAGACAGCTCGAGGGGAAACGGGCCGCCCGAGGGGACGAGAGAACCGGTTACACAGCAAGGGTTTCAAAAGCGAGACGTGAAACGTGTTCGGGACACGCATGGAAGGAGGCAAATCAAGGGAGTAGGAAACGGGATTAACCCTACGTAACACCTTGAAAGGACCAAGAAATCTGGGGGCCAATTTCATCGAGGGAACCTTGAGACGGAGGTTCCGGGAGGACAACCATACCCTATCACCCGGAACATAGGAAGGGGCCGCAACCCTACGGCGATCAGCAAACTTTTTCTGAGCAGCCGCTGAACGAGACAGCGTAACATGGACTTGATCCCATGTCTTCCGCAAAGAGGCGAGGTGCTGGTCCAAGGCGGGCATTCCCTTGTCGGAGAACGCACCGGGAAGGACAGAAGGACGAAACCCATAAGCAACCTCAAAAGGACTTAAGCCAGTAGACGAATGAGTCACCGTATTCCTGGCAAATTCAGCCCACGGAAGAAGGCGAGACCAGTCGTCCTGGTGCGCATTAGTGAAGCAGCGCAAATACAATTCCACAGACTGATTAGCACGTTCGGCCGCACCATTAGATTGCGGGTGATAGGAGGAAGAAAACGACAAGGATACCCCCATCTCAGCACAAAAGCCCCTCCAGAACCGAGAGACAAATTGAGGACCCCTGTCAGATACGATATCCTGGGGTACCCCATGCAATCGGAACACTTCTTTGGCAAATACCTGAGCTAACTGAACTGCAGAAGGCAGTTTCTTAAGCCGAATGAAGTGCGCCATTTTAGAGAACCTATCCGTCACAGTCAGTATCACCGTCTGACCATCAGAAAGAGGCAGGTCTACAATGAAATCCATGGATAAGTGGGTCCATGGTTTCTTGGGTATAGATAGAGGCATCAGAAAACCCTGGGATCTCATATTAGGGGACTTACATTGCGTGCAGACCTGACAAGCCTGAACAAAATCCACTACGTCTCGCTTGAGTGAAGGCCACCAGAACTGTTGAAGTAGGCCCTTGTAGGTTTTGGTAACCCCCGGATGACCAGCAGTTTTGGCTGTGTGAAATAAAGTTAACAACTTTTTTCTGTCATTAGCTTCAACGTATAGTTTACCAACCGGTGTCTCAGGGGGTGCCTGGGTTTGGTATGTCTTAATACTGGTAAGGAAAGGTGAAGAAACAACCAAACGGGTAGCAGCTATTATCTGAGACTCAGGTACAATAGGTTCAGGAGTCGGGTTAACAAATTCTACTGGTTCATGCTGCCGAGAGATGGCGTCAGCCTTGGCATTACGGCAACCAGGTCTATAGGTGATAACATATTGGAAGCGTGAGAGAAATAGAGACCATCTAGCCTGCCGGGCAGATAACCTTCTAGCATCAGCAATATAGGATAGATTCTTATGATCTGTTATAACCATAATTTTGTGTCTAGAACCCTCTAATAAGTACCTCCATTCCTTGAAAGCTAACACAATAGCTAATAGTTCCCTATTCCCAACATCATAATTCTTCTCTGAATCAGACAACCTTTTAGAAAAATAACAACAGGGATGGAGGGGTTTGTCATAAGACAACCTCTGTGACAGTACGGCTCCCACACCTGACTCTGAGGCGTCTACTTCCATAACAAAGGGAAGAGAAGGATCAGGGTGGTGCAGCACTGGAGCAGAGGCAAATGCCTTCTTGAGGGTTTCGAAGGCCTTAAGGGCTTCAGGAGTCCAAACCCTAGGATGTAGACCTTTTTTTGTCAACTTCGTTATGGGAGATATGAGTGGTGAAAAGTTTTTATAAATTTCCTATAATAGTTGGCAAATCCTATAAAACGCTGGATAGCCTTTAGTCCTTGGGGAAGTGGCCAGGACATTATAGCTTCCAATTTAGCAGGATCCATACTGAAACCCTGTTCAGTAATGATATATCCTAGGAATTGCACAGAGGTCTGATCGAATAAACATTTTTCTAACTTACAGTAGAGTCCGCTCTGCAATAGCCTTTTGAGCACCATCCTAACATGGTTATGGTGTGACTTCAAATCAGGAGAATACACAAGTATGTCGTCAAGGTATACTACAGCACAGACATGCAATAGATCCCTAAGGACATCATTTATGAGGTCCTGAAACACGGCAGGAGCATTACACAATCCAAAAGGCATGACCAGATATTCGTAATGCCCACTGCGTGTGTTGAAGGCTGTCTTCCACTCGTCATTCTCCTTTATACGGACAAGGTTATAAGCCCCCCTGAGGTCTAATTTGGTGAAAAATTTAGAACCTTTAACACGATCAAACAACTCAGTGATGAGGGGGATAGGGTAGGCGTTTTTAACCGTTATATTGTTCAGACCCCTGTAGTCTATACATGGCCTCAAATCACCCTCCTTCTTAGCCACAAAAAAGAAACCAGCACCAGCAGGAGAGGAGGACCTTCTAATAAAACCTTTTCTTAGGGATTCCTGTATGTACTCCTCCATGATTTGGTTCTCTTTTTCAGAAAGAGGGTAGACCTTTCCCCTAGGAGGCATAGTGCCCGGTAAGAGGTTTATGGCACAATCATACTCACGATGTGGAGGTAGCTTATCTGCCTCCCTCTTCTCAAAAACCAAGGCAAGATCCGCATAAACAGAGGGCACAGAAACCGAGAGTGGTTTAGCCGTGGGTACGTTAAGTAAACAGACAGGATGTACATGAGCCACACAGTCTCGCTGACAAGATTCCCCCCAGGAAAGTATGTCTAAACAACCCCAATCAAGAACAGGGTTGTGTTTAACTAACCAGGGAAAACCTAGAACGATGGAGGCTGTTGGGGAGTTAATTATTTGGAAGGTTAACTTCTCTTTGTGCAAAACACCCACAGACATAACTATTTCCTGGGTTTCATGGGTCACCAGAGGTTTCTCCAGTGGTCTACCATCTATGGCCTCAACGGCCAAGGGTGTCTCCTTTCGAATCAAATTCAGGGCTGCGGTTTTGGCAAAGGTCTCATCCATAAGGTTGTCTGCCGCACCTGAATCGATCAGGGCTTTGGTTGTTATAGTGGTTTTATTGACCAAGAGAGAAACCGTAATAAACGGTCTAGAGATGGACATATGAGGGGACAAGGTCATAACACCCGAGGCCGACCCCTCTCTAGGCCTTAGGTGCTGCAGTTTCCCTGTAGTTTAGGGCAGGCTTTACAGTGATGCCCCCTCTTCCCACAATAAAGGCATAACCCCTCCCTTCTACGGTACGCTCTTTCGGCCTCAGTTAACCCTGTAGCACCCAACTGCATGGGTTCAGGGGATGGCTGCACAGGAGCGGGTAACGCTAGCAGGGAAGTACTGGGTAGAGCAGGTAACACCCGTGTATCCAACCGTCTTTGGCTACGCCTCTCTCTAATACGGTTATCTATAAGAATCACATAGTCTATAACATCATCTAGAAGAGCAGGTAATTCCCTGGATGCTATTTCATCCAGTATATAAGCGGCCAGACCCTCCTGAAAGGCTGTTACGAGGGCGTCATTATTCCAAACCACTTCAGCTGCTAGAGTACGAAATTCGATAGTGTAATCTGCTACAGACCTGTTACCCTGTCGGACCCTAAGCAGAGCCTTGCCAGCAGAAGCAACCCTACCGGGTTGATCAAACGTGCGTCTGAAAGCTGTCAGAAAATCAGCAAAGGACATAGGAGACGTATTTTCCCAAATGGGGTTGGCCCATGCTAAAGCTCTCCCGGACAAGTGGTTTATCAAAAAGGCAATTTTAGATCTGTCAGTGGGATAGGAGCGTGGATTCATCACCAAATGGATGTCGATTTGGTTGAGGAAACCACGACACAATGCTGGGTCACCACTGTAGCGCTGTGGCGGCGTCATGTGAACTACATGAGCGGGAACAGGTACTGGAGTGGGAATGGGTTCGGGCACAGCAGCAGCAGCCTCCTGAACGGCCGGTTGCAAGTGTGCAGTACGAGCCAGAATGGTTTGTAAAGCTTGAGCAAACTGATCCATACGGTGGTCTAAGCCATCCATTCTAGCCTCTTGATTAACTAGAAGCTGTGGTATGTCAGCAGGTTCCATTATGGCCCTGTTGTAATGTCACGATTCGGGGAACCAAACACGCCACACACACACACACAAAGTGCCGTACCGGACCTTAGAGTGGCCGGGCTAAGCACACAAAGAATAGTCAGGAAACAAGCCGAGTAAGGGGAACCAGAAGACAGAATAACGTGAAACAAGCCGAGGTCAAAGGGTAGGAGAAAGTCACAGAGTCGGATAACAAGCCAGAGAGTATGTAACCAGAAGCACAAGTTCAGAATCAATACTAACAAGCAAAGACCACAACAGGGCAAGGAGGAACAGGAAAGGTAAGTATTTAAACCATCAGGTTAATTCTGATTGGATGATTTCCAATCAGAATTAACAATCACACGTGGGAGATATTTAGACCTCCCACTGTGATTGTGGCACTTTGCCTTTAACGCCGGGTCAGGTGACTGAACCCGGCGTGTATAACCCTGGGCGGTCTCCCAGCGTGCAGCGTCATGCATGCTGCCGCTGGGGGACGTGGAGGGAACGGCGGGCGGCATCCGAGGCTGGAAGGATGCCGCTCGCCGTACCCACGAGGTGGAGGGGACCGCGGACGGCTGGAGGGTGAGTACTGCGAGCGGAGTGCAGCCTCCCCTCGCAGCCGTCCGCGGGAGCCTGACAATGTAACTGTCACGGTTTAATACCCCAACACTCAGAGTTTAGGATAGCAAGGGACAAGACTAGGAAATAACGTAGTACCGGTCCTTAGAATGGCCGGACTAAACGTTAGACAGAAAAAAGTGTAATCAGAAACGAGCCAAGGTCAAGGTAACGGAGAGACAGCGAAAAACAAGTCACGTACACGATAATCAGTCAGACAGACAACCAAGACAGGAAAGGGTTAAAGATAAATTCAGAGTCAGATACAAAGCCAAGGTCAAAATCAGAATAAACACAATAGATCAAGGAACACACTAAAGGGTACTGAAACAGAAACCACAATAGGGCAAAGTGGATAGGGTTAGGAAAGTTTAAATATCCTTAACTAACATTTGATTAGCCCACGTCATGCCCACCCCCCAAAATGTAGCGTGTGTGGGGGCGTCGGAATGACGTGGGCCAATGGGAGCCTGAATTTATTTTTGACTCCCACTGTCCCTTTAAGAGCGCACTTGTGACGCGAGCCGCGCTCCTAGTGCCAGTCGGGCCGCGTGACCGCTCATTGCGGTCAGTGCACGTGGCCTGCTCAGACGGGAAGATTGATCCGCGCGCGGATAAGGAAAGTTCCGCCACAGTATCATAGAAAATATAGGATTATAGTGAAGGGCTTAAAAATATTGCAAAAATATGCAATATCTTCACTCTTTTAGGTTGTCACAACACCTGTAGACAACCAATTCCCAACCAATATACAGTGTGTTTATAAAGTGCTCATGCAATAAAAAACAATAACTTTGTGTAGAACCTTAATAAACAACATTGCCTAGAGCCTTACGCCTTTGGAGCCTCTTTATGGGATGGACTCCTTCCCTCTTATCTCTGGTGGTAAGATGAAGACTTTTAAAATTGCCTTTGGGTGCCTCCCCTTGGATGATTGGGGGGCTGATCCAGGACTCCCTTTCAGCTCCGGATTATGTCACCACAGTATGGAAAGCCAGACTCCGGAAGTAATGGAATATATAATCTGCTTTATATATATTATGTATATATAAAAAGTAAAATAAAATAAAAAAGCAGTCCTATGCGTTTCGTCTCACAAGAGACTTCTTCCAGGGTCCCAATGATAAAAATAATGCAATAATAATATCAATACAAAGACAGGAAAAAAGCAGCATATGCTGTATTAACCCTTAGCCAGGCGTTAGGGAAAATACTTGTTCCTTTTCTGTATAAACAGTCTTCACTGTTGTTGTTTTTTTGATATTTTCTTTCTGAGGTATACTTCATCCAGAGAAGT